TTTTTTCAGGTGCAGTACACGACTATTTTAGGATCTTTTCGTGACTAGCTCCGAGCTACCCCGAACTAGGCATACAACTGTCCAGAAGCGGTTATGAAACAGACAAAAACTTGTTACAAAATGGTCTCGAATAAGTCTTTAAACGGTGCCAAAATGGGTCCTGACTATGTACTACAAAAAAGGTCCCAAATTAGTGTTCTTGAAATAGTCCTAAACTAGCCCCGAAACGGTCAAAAAAGTGAACTTGTCCCGAAATGATGTCGAACAAGTCTTCAGACGGCCCTGGAATGGTCCCTTATAAGTCCCAATAATATCCCGAACTAAACCAAAAATTGTCCCCAGCTAGTCCCAAAAGGTTTCTGAAGAAGTCCCGGACTAGTCTGGAAATGGTCCTCAACAAATTCTAAAATGGTCCTCAAGTAGTCTTGAATAAGGCCAGAAATGATCATGGACCAGTCCCGAAATGAAATGGTTCCGAAATTGTCCTAAATGAGTCGTAAACTAGTGCCAAAATGGGGCTGTAATAGCCCTTAACTATTCCAGAAATGTGACTTCCTATATCAAAGAAGCAAATACAGATTTTCTGCCTGGTTACACAAAAAGCAGCGAAAAAATGTTTACTTCGTTATCGAAAATTTTACTCATACCGAGATCTAAGATGTCTGCACTAGGGATGGGTAGTGGGGGGTGGAAATTCGATTTAATTCGAATTTTTTCGAATTTCGCAAAATTTTTTTGAAGTGAAACTTCTTAATCGAGTTCGGAGATGTTTGCGTTAAATATTTAACACCAAGTCATAAAATCTGTATTTAAAAAAATTAGGAGTCGAATTAAAGGCTTGTCCTTTGGGTCTGCAACATAGTTTTAGTTCTATGAAAAGGGTTGCCACAGGTTAGAAAATCAAATTCAAATGAACGCTTCCGCAGATGTTTGCGTTAAATATTTAACACCAAGTCATGAAATCTGTATCGTTCGTCCGAGTTTCAAAAAGGGGGTAGGTGTCAAATGAAATGTAGATGTGTAACATGGTTTTAGTTTTGTGCCATATATAAGAAAATCAAAATCAAATTATTTAATAAGTTAAATAAATTACTCCAATATGGGTATCAATCGAAATGGTTTTGAATAAACTGTTTTTTTTAATTACCTTTGGGAGGGTTGCCACCTGTTTGAAAAGCCGAATTTATTTAAAGAAGTGTTGTACTTAAAATACTATGCAACAATTAAAATATTTTTGAGGTGCTTGAAGGGAGTGGCCACCTGTTTAAACAGTTAATCTAAAATTACACTATGCGACAGCCGAAACCAGTACGGGCTGGTTAACATTTTGTTATCCATTGTTAACATTTTCTGAATGTCTACCCATCCAGTAGTAAAACGCTCGATGTATTTGCAAAAGTTAGCTAGTATTTTTATTTTATGGCCTACTAAAGTTTTCATATCTCGGCCTAAGTAGTTTTCAAAAAAGTCGAAAAAATAGTTAAAATAAATGTCTGAACGAAATTAAAGGTTAAGACATATATATTAAAATTTCTTGGCAAGTATTTTCGTAGAACATTTTAACCCATTATCTCCCGCATAAACGGTCATATTTGACCCTTACTTCAAGAAATCTCGCAAAAAGCAAATTTGGGAGATCGTTTATGGATTGATATATTCTAAAAAATTCTTCTCCGGAAAATTTTACTAGGGGTCTTCTCAGGCAAAACTTCATGCAACTAACGTAAAAGCCTCTAAAAATTTAAAATAAAAAATCAACAAAGAAACTAGTTTTTTTATAAAAAAAAAATTAAAATTGAGTTTGGAATAACAGTTCCTTCTCGGCACAGATTTTTTGTTTTATGCATCAGATCGAAAAACATGTATTTTTTTCCTTGAATCCGTAAGACAAATGTAGTGCCACACACAGTGATGGCAAATTTAGTCAGAAAGAAAAAATTTGAAGAGTTGATTTTTTCGAAATAAAGATGAAATTCGATTTTTTCTGGAAAAATTCGATTTTATCCGAATTTTAGCAACACAAAGATCGACTTCAAAAATTCGCCATTTTGGAGCTAAAATTCGATTAAAATTCGAATATCGAAGCTTCGAATATCGAATTTACCCATCCCTAGTCTGCACATCAAAAATTTCTTCTTCTCTTCGTGGTGTCGAAAGCGGCTTTGAAATCAACAAATAGATGGTGTGCCGAGGAATTATCTGCCTTTGACGGGGGCATACCATTGAAAAAAACCTTAAAAACTTCAATGTGCAATTTTTGAACAGGTTCCGCTCTCCTCTAATTAATTTCGCTTTTATCTATACATATAATAAAATTGTAACAGGTCGATGTCTGTCATTATAGATATTAAAGAAAAATTAATGTGGGAGGTCTTTATTAGAGCACCAGAAGCCAAATCAACCATTTTTAGAATTTTTGTCTGTCTGTCTGTCTGTCTGTCTGATGTTTGTTCGCCGCATCACTCGAAAACGAATGCATGGATTTGAATGCAGTTTTCACCGATGTATTGCTAGGGGTCCGAACTTAAAATATAGGAAGAAAAAAATTAGAAGAGTTGCACCTGTTTGAAAATTGGAGTTTAGTAAATTGATAAGAAAAAAATAATATTGCAATATGGGCTGTCAAAAGAAAGAGACTAAAGAAAGCTTACAGCCAAAAGTATTTTTTTAGAGTTGCCACCTGTTTGAAAATTTACATTTAATTTAATTTATAAGATAAATTGAATATTGCAATATGGGTATCAAACTGAAGGGATTTAGGAAATTTATTGCCGAAAATATTTTTGGGGCCCCCTGTTTGAAAAATTGTTATTGTATTAAATTGATACAAATAAATGAAATCTACATCTACATCTAGATATCTACTACATATAATAAAGCCTAACCAGATCGATGTCATCATTATAGATATTACCAAGAAATTAATGTGGCAAATAAAGATTTGTTAGATCTTCTGTCTGTCTATCTGTCTGTATGTTTGTTCGCGATCACTCGAAAACGAATGCATGGATTTGAATGCAGTTTTCACCGATGTATGCTAGAGGATCCTAACTTAATATAGGAAGAAAAAAATTAGAGAGTTGCCACCTGTTTGAAAATTTCAGTTTAAGGTAATTGATAAGAATAAAGTGAATATGCAATATGGGCTGTCAAAAGAAAGACATCAAGAGGCTTAAGCGAAAATATTTTTTTGGAAGGTTGCCACCTGTTGAAAACTTTACATTTAATTAATTTGATACGCATAATTGAATATTGCAATATTGGGTATCAACTGAAAGAGGTAGGAAATTTTATATGCGAAAAATTTTTATGGAGGATTGCCAGCTGTTGAAAAATTTTTTGTATTAAATTGATAAAATAAATGAAATCTACATCTACATCTAGATATCTATACATATAATAAAATTGTAACAGGTCGATGTCTGTACATTATAGATATTAAAGAAAAATGAATATGGGGGGTCTTTATTAGAGCACCAGAACCAAATCAACCATTTTTAGAAATTTTGTCTGTCTGTCTGTTTGTCCGTCTGTCTGTCTGTCTATATGTTTGTTCGCGCATCACTCGAAAACGAATGCATGGATTTGAATGCAGTTTCCACCGATGTATTTCCAGAGGTCTAACTTAAAATATAGGAAGAAAAAAATTAGAGAGTTGCGACCTGTTTGAAAATTGGAGTTTAAAGAAATTGATAAGAACAAATGAATATTGCAATATGGGCGTCAAAAGAAAGAGGCTGAAAAAGGCTTACAGCCAAAAATATTTTTTTAGAGTTGTCACCTGTTTGAAAATTTACATTTAACTTAATTTATAAGATAAATTGAATATTGCAATATGGGTATCAAACTGAAGAGTATTCGCCACAATAGCAAAAGCGAAATTTGATTTCCCTTCTTAATCTGTCTGATTTGAGCGTATTATCAACAGGGAAACATATTTTTGTGTCTAAAAGGCTGTCGACTTTTCAAATCCTACCCGATTTCTCTTAATTTAAGCTCTGATCCAATATTTTTCGTGTAAAATCTTGTTAAAATGTCAAACAATTACTCTCTGAATTTAGAATAAAAAGTGAGTAACAACAAAATCACGGGAACAAAATAATCATTTTTTCCAGTAAAAACGTCAGCCAGTGATCGCTTGACACTTTTCGGGTTATTTCCCAGAAAAAAAAGCGCGGTAAAATCTTGCAGCTTCATTCTCTACACAACTCTCCAAAAATCGCTCTAATTTACAGGATTTTGGAGGAATTTGGAGTACGGGATCACTTTTCCTGTAACTTCCTGTCAGTTCGTGTAAAAACCTGTAAATTCATGGAGTACTGGATCAAGGCTTTAACCCAGCAAGAACGACCTAACGTATTCTCCAATACACTTACAAAATTGTCAATAAAAACCAACACATTTGCATATTAGCGTTTCCATATGCCATTCTTTAAGTTATATAACACATTATTAATCGCATAATAATATTTGATTGAAAAGAGACCACTATATATAGGATAATATAATAGCGGATTCCATATAAAAGAAAGAGAAAACTGCTCACACGTGAAACGATTATGCTTTAGATTTCTCCAGGAGCCCTATGTAAAATGATGGACAGTTTTTGGATTTCTCACACAAACTTTTTGTAGTACTAGGCGTATATAACGCATTAGTTAACAAATAGGGTTCTTATTGGGAATGTCCTTGGTTTTTAATTGACGCCCTTCAAGATTATAGTAACGGCTTATAATAAAATTTCAGCAATTCTTCAAAAATTTCTGTGGAGTGAACACACTGTGATCTAAAACAAACTTCGCACATAGATGTCGCCTTCAATTTTGGCAATCAGCTGTTTTATCGATAGTAATTCTTTGCACGCGACTGTTGGCTTGCCAAAAAATTTTGTAACAAAGTTTGTGGAATACGTAGAACACTTACAAATCCTAATCAACAGCAGAAAGGCAAATCCGCGACACACGTTTCAATAGCGTTGCGATAAGAACTTCAAGGAATCCATGTCATCGCCGGTTTCTAGAGGGGAAGACAGGGGAGAAACCCCACAGATAGCTGAAGAAATAGGTGAAAGTACAAGTGAATTTGAAGAAATTGAACGCTTGGAAAGTGGAGATGAAGCGCTGCCAAATTTTGCATTCCCCTATCTTAGAGGTAAGCTTAAACCCTTGAATTTGTCTTCTCTCAAACTAAGCGTGTGCACATGGTGGTCGGGTAGGGTGGGGTTTAGTACCGCTCACAACTATTTCGGGCTATTCCGTCCAAATGGGTGGCCCGATCCAAAAAAAAATTTCACACACTTGTAGTCAAGGGTCCACGCAATATTTTAACACTCACTTTTGTAAATTTTGGTTACTAATTTATTTACAAATTGGGTTTGAAATATGCCCTTTTTTGTAAAATTCGGAAATTAGCGTACATTTATCACTCCTATTCTGCTTAAATTAGCCACTTCACCAATATATTTTTGTATTCCCCTTCACTTTACACTTTACTTGATTTGTTATAACTTGCTTTACGACTTTAATATTAACCAATTCATCACAATTCATTAAATAAAAACACCTTCAAAATCACGCGTCTGACTTTGGTTGCATATGCAAATTAAATGGC